TAAATAATTGAATGTAGAAGCAAAAATAAATAGTATCTAATTCAAGAAGAAGAAAAATAAAATAAAGTACAGTGCTTGAAACTTATTATTCAATTTTATTGCCGTATAGAAATAGGTACATGTTAGACAAGCGCGATTTAAATTAAAATCACAGAAAGAAAGGTAAAATTACGTGACGATATCATCTGGCGCGTGCAGAAAATATGTCGAAGAAATTCGACTATGAGACGTTGTTGCGATATCATGGCTTGATTATTATGCTTCGCCCGACGTGAATTCTAGGCGTTAATCGGTTGCAAAATACCGATAGCCGTCTTAACGTGGCGCTATGTGCAACAATTCTTATCGCTTGTGCCCAGCTCTCTTTGCATTTTTTTTTGTATCGCCTTACACAACGCATAAATATTTCTTTCCTCATATATAGGTATCTCAATATAAATTGAAGACTCGCGTAACACTTTTTAGGTAGCTAGGCTTTGCGAGAATTTACGCTGTCAGTTACGAGTGTTCCTTCTTCGCTTCCATCAATCGTGTGAGTTGAATTAATCGCAAAGTTACCCTTACTTAATTTATTTAATTTAACTTTATTAGCGAAATTTTTATTTGATAACGACAAAATTTTATTTGATAATGTTTTCTAGGCTTCCCTCATTCCACACCTCAGATTTAACATAATTTACGTTTTTGCTCATAGAATCGTATTACCTGATTTCCCATTAGAGATACAAAGCGTCGAAATTTTTAGCTCTAGTCGAGTAAAGTAAAATTTCCTCCACTATCTAGTGAAATCCTTTGATAAGCTCTCTTAAAACCTATTAAAAACTTTCTGTAGTAAAAACTACGCGTGTAAAAATATTGAGAAATTACAGATAATTTTCATATAGATTAATTTCGTGCGACATAGAAAACTCGCGTTTTTTTAGCATTTTGTATTTATATAAATCAGATATAAATCAGTAATTTTCCTCCTTTGAATGTTTACAGACTTCGCTGCACGAGTTAAGGCCATTGCACGTAACAAAATTTTAGTCATAACTATAAGGTAAGAAAACTGACTAATCACTATACCTTATTTTTCGACCATAAGGAGAATATTCGACTGCGATTGGTCAATTTTCTTATAGCCTTACGATTACGACTAAAATTTTGTTACGTGCAATGGCCTTTAGGATACGTGGCGTAGTCCGAGCCAGTAAGTGACAAAGCGCGGCGAATTTCACTTGGCGCGCCGCAGTAGGCAGTAGATACGGACAGACGAGACGCGCGCAGAGACGCGGCAAGTAGATAGGGGCACCTAGGCACCTATGCGCGGCCAGTCAAAGTACCTGTTACCGCACGGCGCGGCGCGGCTTCGGGCGCCTCGGAGAAGGCGGTCTTCAGACTCCGGGCGTGGGAAGCTGCGTTGGCGTTACGTTACGTTACGACAATTGACTCTAACGCGCTAGACGCCGAGCCAATTAAGAGAGGAGGTCTCTCCTCTCGTCGATGACGCCACGCGGCAACGATCGAGAATGCCATGCCATGCCGGCTCGTCTCTCTCTCTCTCTCCCTCTCTTCCCTCTCTCTCTCTCTCTCTCTCTCTCTCTCTCTCTCTCTCTCTCGCGGATACACGAAGCGATCCCTTTCACTTTCCTCCGCGAGTCCGCACGCGAGAGCCGATAAGGCCTCGCTCGCTGTCCTTACTGGAAGAGATTTTCAACAGTTAACGGTATCAATAATACGCTAACTCTCAACGGGTTACTAGAGTTAGGAAGAGTTCCTCAAGCTTCCGGCTTTTGATCGCGTGAGCGTGGAAATTGCGAGTCTTCGCCGATTATACAGAATTAAAGGTTGAGGAGTATTTGTTGATTATTACATTTTTTTCTTACGATAATTATTCGGAAGTCTTCATCCTGTGTCTTTGCTAAGTTATCTCTTAGAAATAAAATGTATGCATCTCACTTTTGAGGAGGATGTAATTTATAACTTGACACGCAATAAAATAATTTTAATTCTTTTATGATTTGCGCGCGTTATTAACATAATACACGCACGTGTAAGTGGATACACGATGAATCAGAGGCAAATAACTTCTCACAGTCGGAAGGAAGTCGCGAACAAAGCGTCGTTTCGCGTACGCGGAGGCAAGGTAAGGGACAAGATAAAAATTCTACGTGCAAAAAAATGGAGAAAAAGTCCTCCCCGCAGGGGAATTCCAGCGAGTTCCTTCCTGGTAGCCGTCACCTCCCTCGGCCCTCGTTTCTTCCTGTAACGAGGAGAGGACGCGAGAGAGGAAGAGAACGGCGATGGAGAGGCAGAGGGAGGTGGCGGCGGCGGAGGAGGAGGAGGAGGAGGGCCGGGTTCGCCTCGTGGGCGACTCGTACGTTCCTAAACTGCATTCCAGCCTGCGTTGCCACGTCTCGTTTCACACACGTGGACACGCGTGCACACGCCGCACACACACACACGTTCACGCAACACACATGCACGCGTTACACACGTACATGCGACACACACACACACGCGCACGAAAGATCGCAACCAGGAGCGACTCTTTCGGGTGGGGGTGCATCGGAGCTCGACTCCTCGTAAATATTCCGGCCAATATATCCCTCCTTTCTTCTTTTCGCTCTCTTGTTCCGCGCCCTTCTCGCGCCTCGCTCCTCTTCCTCTCCTTCCGTTTATCGTCTTGTTCCTTCTCTTTTTCGCGTCGTCACGTCCGCGAAACTGCGCCACGAGTCGAGCCAATTTCGCGTCGTCGCGCGTCGTCGTCGCCCGGCACAAGTGAATTCTGGGACGCTTTTGAGCGGAAAAATTTGGAACGCGCGCGACAGAAATGTCTTCGCGGCCCGTCTACGAACGATCTTTCGAAAATCCTGTTGTCGTCGTCGACGTCGTGTCGTGCGAAAGTTACCACGCGATACGAAAACTTCATGGTACATTTACTTGTTTTATTTTTCGCTCGAAAAAAATATCCGGTGAATATCAAGTCAACGCGGCAAATCGTAATAAATAGAAAGTCTCGTCTTTGCATCTCTTGAAAGGAGATAAAGATCGTAAAAAACAGTTGTTTTCTTTCACGGAGAAGAGATGTGGATAATTTTTCTCCTATAATATAATTAGTGTTTTATAATTTACATTATTAGAGAGAAACAATAAAAATGAATGGATGATTTATTCACACTTTTGATATGGTATCAAAATTTCATTTTATTATCGTGACATTAATATAAAAAAATAAACAACATTTGGCGATGCCTTTCTTGTACTATATAGGGTGTTTCTTCAGTCGAAAACTCCAGGAAGTGATACCTTGGGCGATTTTAAAGAAAAAAGTTTTTATGAACAAGCAAAGTTATGGGCCTTCAAAGTTAAAAAAAAAAAAAAACTTTGAAGGTCCGTAACTCTGCAGAAAAGCATTTCCGGGTCCATGTTCATATAGGAACTTTTTTTTTTAAATTGTCCAAGGAATCACTTCCTGGAGTTTTCGACATCACTTAAGAAACACTCTGTATATTTTTTACATTGCTAACAAATAAACGAAAATAAGAGCACAAAAAAGGTAATTAATGTAATTATACACTGTATGCACACAATTAGTTTAGAGGAGAATAGTACATCTTGGTATTGCTAATTTTGATAGAGCAATTCATACAATCTCTGTGCATTTCAAAAAGCGTGTGTATATCTATTGAAATTGAATTGTCGCGTATACCTAATGCGCTCCGCCATCGCGGAAACATTTTGAAAGTCGATCGAATGGAATTTTAATCGCGCCGGTTTTGTCTAGTCGAGACGACGCTGAATTAGTCATATTTCCATAAGATTTGCATATGCGTTGCGCGCGGAGAGAAGGTGAGAAATAGGGAAAAAAGAAGAGATAAATCGATACCAAAAGGAAACAAAATAGACTCCACGGAATGGTGGTAAACAAAAGGATCTCTTTTTCTTCGCGAGTAAATCACGACACTCCATCTCGTATCTCGCAGATTCGCGGTATATTGAAAGCAAATATCTTTTCCGGTTAGACGTTTTCCCGCTTATTTACTCTTTTTCTTGCGCGTCTCGACGTATCGAATGTAAATGTTGTCCTTTGATAAAGATCAAGTTACCTTCTCGAAATTGTTGTGCGGTAGAAAATGATTTAATCTCTTCGATGTAACAAACAGACTTTTCTTCTAAAATATGAAAAATGTGTCAGAGAACTATAATGTTGTCCCGATTGATTCGCGCTACGAATACGTGAAAGTATTCGACGTACGTTCGTAAAGAACGTCGTTCTCAAGGATACTTCGGGACAGCAAATGCCTAATGATAATAATCGCAAACACATCCACATTCGCAGTGCGGATCTACTTTCAACGCGCACGTGACGATGACGAATCCCTTTACGCGAACTATTATCGGAGACTCACCGAGCGTGACAGGATTCGCAGAGACAAAGACTAAAGACGCACGTAGCATGCTCGGTAACACGACGAGGCGTTCGTTGCAGCGTTTCGGAAGGAAGGGCAAAGCGGACAGCTCGAAAATCCCTTTAAACGACGAAAGGACAGAGAGTCGATCGGTTAATTTCGGCCTGTATTCGATGACACTCTCCAAGGAGAGTGTGGAAACTGTGGCGGTTCCGGAGCAGTTTCGCGGTAAAGGGATTACGATGGACGGTCGGAGGTCAGAGCGAGTCGTTCGGTCATAGCAAAGCGTGCGCGTGTGTGCACAAGAGTGAGAGGGGGGAGGGAGGCCTCCCGATTTACGTAGAATAATTTTTTTTTAGATAGAAGCTGAAGAATTGTTCTTTAAGAAAAAAATGACGTCGATCTTGTATTATTAAAAAATAGTATTTTTTTACAATTGAAAAATGCGTATTTTCGATGTCAATAGATTCATGGAAAAAGGGAATAAAAATAACATAATTATGTGATAATTGTTTTAAATTGTGAATTTATAGAAAATTATTATATATTATAAATTATCATAAATAATTATTATATATTATATATTGTACAAAAGAACGGTGAAAATATAAAAGTTTGTATTTTTATGTTTTATGAATAATAACAATCCCAGCATATACATAAACGATGTTCCTCACATACGGATCTTTGACATTCATCATTTGCACAACAATATAGCGTTTTTTTCACGGGTTTTGTAGGGCAGAAAAAGCATATCTTTCTTTTCTCTAACTTATCAAGTCCATGTAACATATGATGCTCTTCGGACTTATTCAGTATAAGCGAGATACTACTTCTTATAGTTCTACTTAGACTGGTTATATTTAAGCGACGCTCCAAATGAGGTTTACATAACGAAATCGAAAGATGTTTTAAAAATTTTTGGCGGGATAAGCACTGATTTTCTGTAATCAAATTATATAGAATTGCCGCGTTGACACCACCTTGGTCCAGCATTCCATAAAAAACACGCATTGGCCATCTAGCTGTCTGTCTAGCTGTTGTGTATAAAGAAACCATTTTATTAAATGTGTCAACTCCGTCTTTAGTTTCATTATAAAACTCAATAATTTCTGGCTTTTTTGAAATATCAAACTGTACGTTCTTTATGCAGAGTTGACACAGCAAGAACTATTTTATTCCTTTTCGGATAAAAAGAAAGAAGTGTTATATTTTTGCTATTATCATAGCCATAACGCGCAAGTCCAATGGATGCGCAGGTAGTAAACGTAGCAGGAATCTCCCGGTTATTTTTTCTGATTGTGCCGATAGCATGTAAACCATACTGGTTACGCAATTTATCACAAATTCTTATTGTTGTGAACCAATTATCAAAAGTTACTGTGCGATTTGAATTATATATCGGTTCTGTTAGTGTACGCACGTAATATTCTGGCACAGATTCGTCTATATATGTGTGTTTACTTTGCCGATATACGGTATAGCATTAAACATATAATAAGTTTTCGCGTCGTTCATGGAAATAATTTTTATGCCGAAACGTGATTTTATATATACTCAACCAGAAAAATTACCATTAAAACCTAAGAGCTGTTTATCTATTGTCAGATTATTAGACGGAATATAGTTTTCACGACAACGTTTGATAAATAAATCCCATATTTCTCGAATCGGAGCAAATATATCCGACGCTTCTCTCGCTTCTCTCGTTTGTTTATCATCAAATCGTAATACACTTGACAAGACCTCGAAACGCGGACGACTCATAACAGAGACATAGAAAGGTACGCCAAATTCCGATGACCACATTTCTGCAACCGATTGTTTTGACTGGCCAGTAGCACCCGCGTAGTACAATAATCCTATATACGCTTTTATTTCTAATACATCTGTTTCCTTACGAGATGCCGGAGTTTCTCCTTCGTCAGAGTCACGGAAATTCATCGCAATTTTTTCATTTGTAACGATAATAGACAATAATTCATCCGTGAATAATTCGCTCCACGCATCGAGAGGACTGCTAATATGTAATACATTTGCTGCCGGTGAAGGAACATGCATTTGTGGAGACTCGAGACTTACTTCTGATGCATTTCGAGACCACTTGTAACCATTTCTACCTCGAATAAAAGTTCTTCTTCCCCTCGCCGATTCTTCCGAAAGCGTGTCATCTTCGAGTTCCTCATCTTCGTTCTCAAAACCGTTCCCATCTTCTTCAGTGTCTATGTACTCATAAAATGATTCGCCCTCGAAATAATCGCCTTCCTCACGGTCACGAAGTGCATGAGTCAGGTCATCGGCACTCCGTACAGCCATTATTCTAACTCTAAAATTTTCAAACACAAGACTATAGTGAAAAACTCATTATTTTGACAAATAATTGTCTTACATATTTAATTTTAACACTTACCTAACTTCTTTTGATGTTATTTTTCTTAAAGAACCACAAAAAATAATTTTTTGCACGGAAAAACAAAGTTTTGAGACCCTGCGTTTGGCACACGTAGCCTCTGTGCATGGGTCACTCGTGTCCGTTCGAAATTTGTAATCTCCAGTACTACAGACGGTGCCACCTCTACTGAGTTTCAAGATTAAATTGTACTGTAGGACTGTGTCTCGCTGTGACCGTTTATTGACTATTTATAAGTTCCAGTCTTTCCCCTACTGAGGGTCATCCCTACCCAATCATTCGTTTGAACAAATTTCTAACCGATATCGTTATACATCAATTATCGCCCGCTTTTACGATTGTCTTACATTAGTCTTATACAATGATCATATACCTATAATATCATATATAAGTACGGAAATTTTGCATTTTATATATAACGCTACATGAAATTATATAATATAGGGTTATATACACTTCCATATGAATCTTATATGTATCCATACATGAGTGCAAGTGCCGCCTAGTAAGTATAAGGAGCCGTCTCGCCAACGCCGCACGCCTATTGGTCGAATTTTCGTTACACTTTTCGTTTCCCAAAATTCGTATCGCTTTTCCGTGATGCAAAATCAAACTTACTACCGTGCCAAAAGAAGGAGCCGTCTCGCCAATGCCGTACGTCTATTGGTCAAATTTTCTTTACACTTTTTGTGTCGCAAAATTAGTGTCGCGAAATTCGTGATTTTGTATCGCGAATCGAATTCACTACCGTGCCTAAAGAAGTTTTACTTCAAAAGTTTTACTTCAAAAAGTATTATCGGAGATTGCTCTTTTACTCTATTCCTATTCCATCATTTCCGGATGTCGCACCTCTGATGCTACACCTCTCATGTCTCCTTACAGTGCCAGACTAGAGTCAAGCTCAACAGGGTCTTCTTTCCCCGCTAATTTTTCCAAGCCCGTTCCCTTGGCAGTGGTTTCGCTAGATAGTAGATAGGGACAGTGGGAATCTCGTTAATCCATTCATGCGCGTCACTAATTAGATGACGAGGCATTTGGCTACCTTAAGAGAGTCATAGTTACTCCCGCCGTTTACCCGCGCTTGCTTGAATTTCTTCACGTTGACATTCAGAGCACTGGGCAGAAATCACATTGATCAGAATCAACCCTTTGCCGTTCGGACACATGTAAAGTGGAGAACGAGTCCTAGAACTCGACGTTTCTCCTCTTCAACCTCTCGGTATCTCTATCTCTTTTTTTTCCTTCTGTTCACGTGCTTTTCGTAGCTCCGGTAAGATCATTCCGAATCTTACATGAGGAGCAAGAGAAGCTGACAACGTGGCAGGAGAGGGAGAAAGGCAATTTTACGCCGGAGAGCTCGTTACACATGAGCTGGCCTCCGGGATAAAATTATGCCGGAAGAAGTCGGAATCCACCTTTTTCTCCTTTGTCTCTTATGACCACGGACACAAGCGCGCCGACGCGACGATTGAGTACGTTTTGTTGCGCGAGCTTCGGAAACAAACGCGAAAACGTCAGCCTCGAAAAGCCTTCTCTGTCCTTCCTCTTCCGCGAAGAGCCAAGCGCGGATGAGCTGGTTTTGATTAGAGCGCCGAGACACATGTTGCCGCGAATCGCTCGCGCGCTTTTAAACGAGAATTATCATCCAAGTGGCAAATCGCACTGTCAAAAGTCTTTTATTTCGCATACGGCGATACGGTATAAAATTAGAGAAGTCTCTGCGCATAAATCAAATCGCCGTTGGCGCTCGACACGTGTTGAAGAGCCTCGACTGCGCTTTGATCTACCAATTAGTCTCATCTATTTCCGTTCGTATTCGCGCTATCTTGCCAAAACAGCGATGCTCCTGGAGTCTACGAAATATATAGTGCCTATCTACGATAGAGGTCGAAACACATGCTGTATACTACTAATTATCACTAATTGTAAGTTAGCTTTTATTATCGATCAGGCAACTAATTATTAATATCAGACATTGCAATTTATTATTAATATTTATCGCATTGCAGCAAAGAGTTATTGGTATTATCATTGTATATAACACCGTAAGCAAATGTTTGACAAGATTGCATCTCTGTTTAATGTAATATACCTATACTAATACTAAAATCGCGTCTCTTCATCATATGTTTTTCATCACGTTCTTCGCGTTGCGTTTTATGTTACATCCGCGTGATTGAGGCTTAAAGTTCGTCCGACTGATAGTTTTACCAGTGCTCCCATCTATCTGCAAGACTGACGACTGGTTTCTGAATCACAATAGAGCATAAAATAATTGTAAATGATATTATGCGTTGAGTACACGTTAACGAAGCGTTCGTGGCCTATCTATTTTCGGATGACACTCACGATCAGACATGCGTGCGATAACGATTTGTAATAGTTTCAGTTTTGAAGTCTGAATTATTAAACAAAGCGTTCCCTTAATATTATTTATGAAATGGTAAATGAAAAACAGGTCATTAATTTTTCATAATTTTTTACTGATTCAGGTAAATGCGCATAGCTCGTTAAAATCAGAGATCTTTTGAAAAAATTGACAATAAAATTATTATTTAATTACGTGATAATTGCAACAATAGCGAGGGAAACAGTATCCAGATAGCGCAATTAAATATCAGGATAATATCCGCTCGTAGCGTGCAGATGGATAGATATTAATAATAAGTTTATTGAAATCAGCGGGGAATCCGTGAGAGATTCATGAATAAATTCCATAAGATTCTCCCCTTGCTAAACAACCCGCAGCAACAATAGCGACAGTAACAATGTGCGAAAATAGCGTCGATTAGCGTTCGAGATAAAGGCCGATGCCTCTCACGTGGCCACTGCGCCAAGATCTACGATGCTCATGCCGTGCTTCCGCGTTCGCTAATCGGCGGATCTAACCGATCGATCGCACGATCCGGGATGACGCACATCCGCGTAATGCGCCCGCAAAGATCGATGCGTCAACGTTCTCGGTAAAACGGCGAGGTTTGTGTCGCAGATATTTGTCACGATCGCGGACATTTGTCACGACGAGCTCACCACCAGGCGCGGGCGCGGCGCCGCGATTTTCCTCGGCGGTTTTCCGACGAGGTACGAGTCGCGTTATGATCTCACCGTAGTACTTTCTTAATACGCAATTTCGCATCGGATTCTTCCTCGTTCTCGCGGCAAGACTAATCGCCCACATCTCGCGCGCACGATTCCGCGATCATGTCGGAGTTTTGCGACATGAGAGTACGTGTTTAACATTAATGTTTATTTGCAGGGTTCAGCTTAAGGCTGCGTGTCCACGATGCTAGAACTTGGTTCAAGTTCTCAGACCGAGAGAAAGTTACCGAAACTTGGATCGTGCGGACACACGAGTTTTGCATCCAAGTTTAGTGTGTCCACGTGTGTCTACTTGCGGGGACACTTGCAATGTCAGGGACGCTAGTGTGATAACAAAAAGTTAATAATAATATTAGCGAAGCACACTTTGTAGCATGTTGCAAGAATAAAATAGGAATATGAGAAGTTCACACGTAGTTTCTTATTATAAAATTAAGCATACAATGTTATAGATTATGTATGTACATTATATATCTTTTTATTCTATTTTAGATTGTTCAAAAATAATGTAGTCACAATTAATAATGTCTCAACAAAAACTGTATGATTAATTATTTTGATTTCAACCCCATTCATTGTCAAATTCGTATCGAATAAATCAGCACATTTTGTTTGTCGTTTTTCTGTAAATGCATTATTTTATTATATAGCTCCCTAAGTAGAGAAACGAGTAGCAATAGCGGTGCAGCCCTTAGGATGTCAAACCGCGACGTGCGTGGCGCGGGTGGTTTGTCGTCGGTGGTTTCGGGATGGAGCACCGCAAGTAGAGTGCATGCGGCCGCGTCGGCCGTCGGTCCTCCGACGCTGTCGCGGCGCGGCGGCCAGTAGCGATCGCACGTAGTGCTGGAGTGCCGCCGTGCCGCGACCGTTTATTTTGGATCTCCCGCGAGTTCGATGACCGACGACCGACCGCCGCGAGCGGCGACGACCGCGAAGGAGGAAAGGCGCTGCGCCCAAGCGTGCCATGTGCACGCGCGTTCGCCCGTGTACAAGCCTGCGTGCAAGCGCGACGACTGGCATTCGTAATTGTCGTCCGGCCGTCCCGTCTGCGCGGGCATCTCCGGCCGTGCCCGAGCGCGAAGAAATTTCGCGCGAGCCGGAGCGAGAGCGGCAAACCGAGCCGGGAACCCGGCGAATTGCGACGGCGGCAATTTCACGAATGGCATCACGATTACGAAATCCCGCAGAGACATACGTCTCGCGATTTTCGAGGAAAACATTGGCCGAGAAGGCGGCTTTATATCACAGATATTTTGCGTGATTTTTACCAACTGATCACTGAGGGAAATTTAAGTGACAACAAAATTTGATTTGCTGCGAGAGCAAACTTTTTGCTATTGCCAACAAAAGGTTTGCTACTATTGTTAAATTAATTAGCTCTCGCAGCAAACCAAGTGTTTGCTGTCACTATACTGACAAATGATTTGCTAATACAGCAAAAATTTCTCTCAGTGATTTAACAGTTCGCGAGATGTTTCTTTTTACAGCGATTGCAAATTCATAAATTTTTATTGTAAAATTTCATAAACATTATAATTATAATAGAATCTTTTTCGTGTTTGAGATATACTTTTTACAATAGTTTATATTACATTTCCGAATATTTTTTTATTTAATACTTATTGTTAGTAACCTAAAACGCGTTTGCACGTGGCATTTCGTTTCCAATCCGGATCGGGGTGCGTTTTGAGAGAAGACACAGCCGGGGTCAACGGGGGGGTCCAACATTTTCAGTGAAATCTCGAAACGGGATCTCGAGACGTAGCACCAGCTCGCTTCAGAGAGAGAGACGGTAATCGTCACCGATGATTTGAATGACCATGTAATTCGACGCCGCGACACAACAGGCGGGCGTTTGTTCAGGTTCGTCCGAGGAGGAATCCCGCAGCTGCAACTGCGAAATTCAAGAACAGGCGACAGCGACACCGCCGACGTCGTCGTCGCCGAGAGAAGGGAAAGGGGATTGCAGCGGGTGGTGATGCCGATGACGGCGAGAGGGGCCTGACGAGTCTCTCGGAGACAGGGATAGACGGGAGGGGAGGGATTTTCAGGGGGCACGCGCACTTGTGACCAACCCAACCGTTGGAAGCCGTTGGGTGAAAGAACAAGACGAGGAGAAAGAGCAGATGCCTCTGTTATTACAGGTTTCGTCTTTCGTAACGCTACACCTCCGCTCGCGAGAGGTTCTCTATGAACCTTTAGGTAACCCCTCTCCTTCCTCCCCCCCGTATATCT